ATTTCATAGAATATACATAATTAGGGGGTCCCCGCTCCATCTCACCATCAGTTTAGGGATCCTTGGCCTGGAAAATGTTGAAGACCCCTGTCTTAGGGGGATTAGTTTGCCTAGTGGTGGAAGATCATACGTCTGGTTACCAGTCTGGAACTCAGTGCTCTGAAACCTTCCTTCAGTCCATAAATTCAGCCAAAGACAATGATGGTCCACTTCTACTCTGTCAATCCTTTTCTTTCCAGCAGCAGAGACAAAGGCAATCTACAGCACATTATTCACTTTGCACAGAAGGTGATTGGCTGTGATCTTCATTTTCTTCAACTGTACACCTCCAGGACCTTGAGGTGATCAGGTATGATTGCAGCTGACCCCTCCCACCTTAAACTGTTTCAGACTTTGGCAGAAGGCTGCGGTCCAGCAGGATCAAAACGTCCCATCATAAGGACAGCTTCTTCCCATCTAGCTTCATTAACAAAGCCTTGGTTTCACACTGATACTTTCCCATCAAACAAAAACCCCAAAACATCTGAGCACATGTGTGTACAATTTAATTTAATTTGATCCTATGGTTGCTACATATATTTGATATGTGTCATGGTGCTCTTCCTCTGCAGAGGTTACATTATTTTTTCCCATAACCTTCTTAAACAAATTGTAATTTTTTATTCCATTTTATATAAGCTGTATATTTGCATGCCTGTGTGTAACACCTTATCAATAAAACAAATGACTCATACATGTGAAACACTACATGGCAATATACCTTTTTCTGATTCCTTTTCCGAAACGTTTAATTAGTCCAGATCCATAAAGAAAACAAATAGATAATTTAATTAATGGATTATCTAAAAATGCCTTAAGACATTTCAGTAACAAATGCTTTCGGTCAGGTTTGTATAAAATAAAAGACCAAAATGTGGGAAAGCACATCATGCCTGTTTTTATGTAAGTAGAGGTTCTGTATAAGGATGCTGTCGGTCTGTTTCTCTTCCTAAAGGCCTGAGGTCCTCATAAAGAGCGCAGCATCATGAACTATTTAAGATACCAGTGGATTTGAGACAAAAATAAACCTGCTAAATAGGTTTCATTCAGTCTTTGGATAAAGATCCAACCCAGAAATAGTTCAATATAAAAATAACTTTCTTTTATGGTTTTTCTACTGAACAGATTCAAGTCCTGTAGAAATCCCATAAGTTGAATTGAAACAAAGACAAGATAGATGACTCAGTTTAGAGCTAAACATGTGAAGAGGAACGGTCAAAGATCCATTTAAATGCTCCTTCTCTGTTCATTTACTCACTTCTGTTGCATATTGTATTAAGAAAACAGCAATGGCTGCAGCGACTGAATATATTGATTCATCTCAAGATGATTTTTATTTATGTATTGATTCATCTTAAAGGAGATACAGCAGATTAACTTTTCAGAATAAAAAAAGCTCACAATTTAGCAAAATACAAAATGTTTTATTGCGCATTTTAAATGATTTGTAAATAGAAAAAACATTAAAAGATATATGCGTGTATACACATATTAAAGGGGTCATAGAATGCAAAAGTTTACATTGTCATAGGTGAGTAACGATAGTTTAGTGGCTGAAATGGACGTACAGAGAAGTTCAAACCCCAGCGACACCTCCTTTCTCTGCAAATCTCACAATTCTAGACTTCCACCATAAAACTGGAGAATCCAAAGAAGTACCGAATCGATGTCAATTCGGGGATGTTGCCTTATTTGGTTCTGGCCTGTACTTTTGACACGTCCCTGAAATTGACATACAGACCAGCCTACTGGTTCACAGCCCAAGAACATAAATAGAGGTAGATGGAAGACACCAGTTTAGCTGTTTAGTCTACAGCTGGGTTTACTGCTACAAGAATTACAAAGCAGGCAGTTTCTCTATTGAAAATGGGCCAGAACCACGGGTGTAAATGCAGTGTTCCAGGCTGCATGGGGAAGGGAAATGAAAGGGGAAATTTTTCACGGTCTTCTGTGGATCCGAAGACTTGATAGACATGGATTATTTTTGTCTATCAGAAGATCCCTGCAAAGTTTGATGCTCAGCTGTTCGTTTGGTCAAAGCATTTAACCGAAGACAGCTTTCAAAATCTTGGACAGTTCAAAACAGGATTTGGTAAACTTCGCTGACTGGACTGGACCGGACATTCAAACCAAGCCATCAGGTCCGGAGCTGGTCTGAGTCCAGAGCCAGCCGGGGACGAAGCAACCGAACCCAACCCGGTGACTGTAGCTGCAGCCCCGGGGGCAGGCTCCTTCCCCCCTTCGGCCGGAGTTCCCGGAGCTGACGGCTCGGTTCTACTGCACTGTACTCGACCAAAATTCTGAACGATTTTATTAATTCCCCCCGTACATTTATTTTAGGTATAAAAAGTAGGACATGTCCGGGAAAAAGAGGATGTCTGGTTACCCTACCATATCAACAATTTCAATGTTTCAGAGAGTGAGTGCTTGTTGCTATGATGCGTCTTTGCTCAGCATCTTTGCTTGTTGTAAACCAACCAATCAGCACACAGCTCATTTATTATTCATGAGCATACCATAAAAGGAAGGAAACCTCTTCTTTCTAGGCCTTTTAACCAGGCTTGCATTAGGGCTCATAGAACAGTAACTATGCCATTTTCAGCCCAACCAATGTAACACACCCTATTCAGAGACCTTAAGGACCAGCACCAAATACCCTATAGAATCATTCTATGACCCCTTTAAGATTTATTTTAGCCTATTTTTTATATTTCCCTGTGGAGATTTGTTCTAATCTCTGCTGTTAGGTTATTCTTATAGAAAAGGGCATGTTTTAGAGTCTGTGTATCATTAATCGGGGAAACTATTCCATTCACTTACCACATTAGTTGAATACAATCAATTATTCACAATTATATATGATTAATCTGAGCATAATATCTGTTACTCTATGTCAGAACCTCTTCTATCCACATTGTGCTATTTCTGTTCCTTTCCTGTCCCTTAAGTTCTTGCTATTTAAAAACTATGCTCCTTGCAACCTCATCTTTGCATTTAGGTCCCCAACAATGCAAAAACATAATGGCAGAAAGCAGTAAAATGAGAAAGCATGCTTCAGCTCTTTTCACTGTGTTGTAAGTTCTTGATGTCAATATTCAATTTGACCAATCTGATCAAATCAGTGAGGGGTTATTTATAGCTCAAAGTGTGCCAATGTTTTGTTTCTCCTCATTAATTGTGGTACCTTGTAGCTGCGCTGGTGCTGCAGCACTGATTGAAGTTTAATAGTACTGCAACATGAGATTAGTGATTGTTTTTATTCAAGTTGTTACGGAAATAAAACAAGAGCTGGTTGAGAGAGGAAAGAACCAACTAAATTAATTAGAATTCACTGATTTCATTAACTCCTTATAAAAGATGTGCTCTTTATTTTCTCTTTTCTATCATGGTTTTATGCGTCGATGAAAGGAAATGCCAAATTCTTTATGGAAAAAAATTGTTAAGAGTAAACTATCACTTCTACAACTTGGTTTAGCTGCTGCTAGGAGTCCAACTAACCCTTAATCTCTTTAACAGCTTCCTGCAGTTTAACTGCAGAATAAAAAAGCTGAAAAATTAACCATGCAACAAAAACATTTCATTTTTTTTTTCTGTCTAAATGACATCACCCTAAATAACATTTTATGTTTGCAGCGGTGAACCCTCGATTAAGGAGACGCAGAAATAGGTTGCACTGATGAGAAAACGAGGGTACTTGCTCCATAAAAAGAATGATAAAACCAAACTCCAGTTGCAGACAGATCCCGTTTTAGGTCAAGCTCCAAAAACATGAGATCTTACTCCTCCTGTAAAACAAATTCATGGCCTTTTTTATTAGACTCCTGTTTGTCCTAAATACCTAGCATCTGTGTGGTGCCTCCTTTATGAATAATCTCAGCATTGTGGGTAAAAATAGTTGAATGGCCCTATTTAGACAAATGATTTTTGTCACCTCTATTACATCTTACCTTTATCTTATTGTCAGTACATTTGATACAGTCACAGTCATGTAAGGCTTAGAGAACAATGGAAATGAAGGAGGAGTAAATAGTGGACATGGAGCATTAAGAGGGCACAATGTAAAGACAGGGGAAGCCCTGGATTAGATACCTTACAGACAGCTCTAATCCTCTAAAGGCCAATGTAAGCTTTATTCTCTCAAGTGCTAATCAATTAGCCGTACAACTGAGTTCCACTGTATGTTATACAAAAAACCTTGAGGTTTATTTTACCAACAAAAACAGTTTTCTGAAAAGAGATATTCAGACTTCTAATTGATCGGACATCTGAGGCAGATGTCTGCAGACAGAGAGCCAGCGGAGAGGGTTCAGAGCCGCATGAAGCTGTGTCAGCGCCAGAACTCGCTCTCCAAGAGACAAAGGCAATGACAAACAAGGATGCACAAGCACATAAAAAGAGACAGATGCTCTACTATGAGAGGGGAAAAAACACAAAAAAAGAGTAAAAAAGGAGAAAAAGCTGGAAAAAAAAAGGAAGGAAGGAAAAAAGACACACCTGACATTCACTCATTGGCTCCTCTTCCTTAGTTTCCACCTTCTTGTCCAGCGTTTCCCCAGCGAGCAGCGACTCCAGCACAGGGCCGTCTGGGATGCCCCCCTCCTTCTTTAGAGAGGACTCGTAGTCTGGAGAGCCATGAGACAATAAATGTGAGCAGACCTCAAATACACATAGATGTGTGCAGAGGAAACTGAACTTAGCTGGTAAAAGAAAAGTTACTTCTGGTAAAGAAGTATGTTTAAGTCATAAAGTCAGCTTGTTTAATCTCTGTTACAAAAATATCAGCACCCTGTCAACATCAGGCAGCATTAATAAATAGGTTAATAAATTCAAAGAAAGTCTCATAAGGGAGGACGAGCCGTTTTCTTTTAATTTAAAACCACAAAGGCTGTAAACGCACATTTAAATCAATAGGTAAGATTGATCAAATCATTTGTTTCTACACTTTGAGGTCAAACACAGTGAAAAAAATATACAAACAAAATTGCTTTTCTATGAGCAAAGTTAAAAAGGTGTAGATCGATGAAAAAGAAACGCTTGGTCACTTTTAGCCACTAGGGGCGCTAGACCTGTAACTTACAGGGTTAACAAACCTGAAAGCAACAGCTAATATTGCACTGTCAAGATACTATACAGTCTCTGTCTGTGTTTTGGAATCTGACCACAGATTGAGAAGTCATGGAGTTTCTGGTAAATAAAAGGCCATTTTCAACCCTAAACATTCAACCTTATATGAGGGAACCAATAATATGTCTGATAAGGCATATCTACTTTGTTGCCTAAAGCAACTTTATGCTTAGCTTAACCTGCTGTAAAGCAGCCATCAGGGTCAGATGACATTCAGAGACGGATAGATCACACCCTCTCAAGTTACATAGAAGAGTTTTAAGAAGGGTAGCCCAAACGGAGCATCAACACAGGCCAAGAAAGGAAGCTTAGGCAAAGGTTGGTACCACACTACTGTACCTCCGAAGCCAATCACCATTTCCAGTCCCATTCATCCCATGGCTTATTCCACCACCAGTGTCCGGGACCCAGGGGGAAGACTTCTCTAATCCTTTTCCTAAGCTATTCATCTGAGCGCATGTCAACTCACAGCATGAAAATCTTCTGCCGGGTTCCGAGCGCCAAAGAACTTATTTCATTCATGTCAATAAAATCTTTCTGATTGCAACTTTTCTCTGTCAGTCTCTCTCTCTCCAGGTTGAAAATAATTTCATAAATCTTATCAGGAAATACGAAGTTTAAAAAGTGGGTCTAAAAACCGATAAAATGTTCCCATCATGCATCATGTTTCACATATATCCAGTCTTATATGAGTTGCCAAAGAAAAGGTAAAGAAATAATGCAGCCCTGCCTCTTCCCTATATGGAGCTGCACACTGCTGGTTAGCTGGCCCTTAGAAAGCTGCTACACTCTTTTTATTTATTTGATAGAAATGGTCAATCTCAGCTGTTTGGATTTATTTACCCAAGTAAAAACACCCAATTTTCATAAGAAAACTAAGAGTCTGATTGCTCTAATTACAGCAACGAAAGCTAGAGTTGGCAAACAATGCGTGTCCTGTTTGTTAAGCAGCTCCCTGCGTGTAAACACCTACAATGATGACTGATCATCCAATTGGTTTATAAAGAGCAGAATGGAAAAGAGTCAAATATTCTAATAATAAACACTTAAAAAATTTATAAACACTTAATTTAGACAGATTTTATTTAACATTTTTCTCTAAATCTATGCATCAAAATCAAAGCGCTATAAAAGTTGTACTGATAGCATAATACATCCAACATTTTACCTTATTATAGGAAGAGGAAAGTAGGAATATCATTTTGTTTTCTTTTAAAAACAAAAACAATTAGATCCTGTTTAAGATTTTGTTTTTATTTTTAAGGAAATAGGATTACAGTGAAATTTGACTGAGTTTGACTGACACCCTGTGATAAAATAATATATATTTTTTTATTATTTAATTTATTATGATGGATTTAGAAGAGAAGAAATGATCAAATTCTTGATCCTTAAGCTGTTTTTTTTTAAGTGTTCAGAAACATTTTGGTTTCTCTTAAAGCTACGGTTTTAGTAACTTATGGTTCACCTGGTGGAAACTGTAATTAGAACGTTTGTCTGAAGGGTCAACGTGTTGAACTTCTAACCTGCAAAACTAAAACTGAACTCTGACTGGGATCACTTCAGGGGAAAATTGAAAGAACTGGACGACTAAAGAATAAGTGAAGCTATTTATTGTGAATTTGTGGCAGAGAGGAGTTTTTATACTTTATTATTTTGCCTCCAGTCTATTTTCTGTCTTACTGTTTTTTATTGTTTCCCTCTGCTTTGTACTTGCTTTTCAAAGCTTGACTATAAATATACTTTTTCCTGGTTATGAATGTCATAGTGTTTGTTCACATGTAACTGTTGCCTTTAAAAAGACTCTAATGAACAAATTATAACAAGTATTTTAGAGTTAACAAGAACCTTAAAAGAAGAATATTGTAGCTTCTAATGTGCACATTAAGAGCTGATCTCACATATTGCCATGCAGTCCTACAGTTTGCCTGACATGCTTCAGAGGAGGTGAGAAGGCAATATTTGAGGCACCATTTTGTACTCGGGGATTATCAGATCTGCCTGGTTCCAACCCCAAAAAACACCTAAAATTAAAGAAAAATCTGCCTCAATCTCAAGCGTTTTTTGGTACTTTAAGAAATGCATGAAGAGGAACAATTCATCTTTGATTCTCTTTAAAAATCAGGTGGAGCTCAGATTTCTGTATTAGTATATATGGAATATGGATCATCATCTGGGACGGCATCAGCCCACAATTTTAGCTCCATATAAGCCCCATCCATTTCTGAATATATATATATATATATTAATAAAGATGCTAAAACTGACATAAGATCTGCAATTTACAATAAATAGACTAACAACATGATTGCAAATACAAATTTTATGGAAAAGATTGTCACTTTTCTGCAGCAGAGTGGCAATTATTCTGATTTGTTCTACTATTATTTCTTTCTATGCAGCAAATTCTGTGAAAAACAGCCCAAATTTTGGGCCCAGAATTATTTTTTCAGCCCAACAGGCAAAACTGATTGTTCTTTTTTACTGATTTATTTTTTTCTTAACTATCTGGCTGCACGGAAATATTCCATGTTTTTTTAAATCACAGCTACAAAGTTGTTTACAACAGAATTTTTTGTGATAGGAGAAGGATTAATGTGTTATTGTGAAGTGTATGGAAACGGATACATGGTTCTCCAATAGTTAAACTAAAGAAAACTGTAAAAATGGATTATTGTATTTCTCTACTACCAGGTCAATACTGTGGAGGCGTATTTTCCGCATTTAGAGAAACAGGTTTTTTTTTGGTTTATCCCGAAGAACTTTGGAGATCTGAGGATTAAACTCTCTTTTTATCATTTTTATGGATAACTACAAATTTTCCCTTAAATTCTTCATTTATTTCAGGTCTAGACTTTGATCCAAATATTCTATTGTATCTGGTGGTTCAAGTTGTTCTGTTGAATCTTGGCTTTGCTCTGAAAACTTTTGTAGCCTTTTAAAATGTTTCTTAGCATCATTGCTATTTTTTTTTTTGCACAGTTCGTCTCTAATAACGAATGAAAATCCCCAGAAATCTTAGTTTATTTAAAAAAATACTTAACAACTGTTAAAAGGTTGTTATTTTCAAAAGGTACTTATAATCGGACAGAGAAACTCAGCGTTATTGCAGATCCTTCCGACTAATATAATTTATAACATGCATTGATCTTTTTAATAATTACCTTATTAATTTGCAAATGCCTTTAAATATGAGTATTATACAGAACTGCACAGTTTTTCTATATTTTGCTTTAAATTTGTACCTAGTGTACAGCATCTTATCTGTACTTTCTGTTTTTTGATTTTGCCTTGTTGTTAATCTTCAGGTTTCCACATGTTGGTCACTTTGCTGATGTTAAATCCTCCCCACTGAGAGATATTTCAGTTCTTTCTCTCTGTTGTTGTTTTATTTCGTCTTGTTGATGTAAAGCCTCATAAAAATGCACCCTGTCTCATACTGACCAATTTTGAACTCGATGGGTAGAAGCCGTGGATCCTCCAAGATGTTTAGCCGCCTCTTCTTGCGCCAGCAGCGGGCTGGATATGTGTACAGCTGACCGGGAGCATGACCTGAAACACATGGTTTACATTGTTTTAGAAAAAACTAAATTAACGTTTTATTTTTTTTTTTTATGTGGAAACTTAGGTTTAACAGTAAGTTCTAAACTCTTAACGCACATATTTCTTATGGCAGCCCGCAGCCAGCCTACAAACACAAGCACACAAGAGCATTCCTCCTAAGAGCAGTTAGTGCCAGCGGCACCTCGTCGCCTACAGGGGTGTCTGAATCACTGCCAAAATACATAGATGTTACAGAGAAAGAAGAAGCGCAGAGGAAATACCCTATGGGGAAAACTGGAGACATGGGAGGTGGAATAACGCCTTAGAAAGTAGAACGAGGGAGCAGAAATACAGAAAGTTAAGGTAAGAAAGAGATAGAAATTAGTTGGAGAGAATTGTGTTTATTAGGGGTCTGCAACCTGTGGCTCCAGAGCAACATGTGGCCCCTGCGGCCCCCAGAGAGCACTGATAGTTATGGTATATTCTATTTATTAGGTTAATAATTTCTTTTGGTTTTTAATGGAAAATCTGGATTTAATTTTTGAAAAAGGAACAGTTGTGATATAAAAGACCATTCCACTTGTTCTTTGGCTATTGTTTCTATTTTAATTATTTTCTATCCCTTTTTTTTTTGCTCTTCAGCTTAAAAAACATTCAATGGAGGTTAACTTTATCCGTCTATCAAAACATTTATCCCTTCCTCTTTTGTAAGAGTTTTTTAAAATTTCAAAATTTCAATCCGAATATACTACATAAAGTGGGATACTGGGAACACACAAACCAGTTATTTATCAAATCAAATATACTGAAATTCTGGGACCTG